CGGCAAGCTTATTAGATTATACTTTCTATTTTTTTTTTCTTCTTCTTACTTGTCTACCTGTCCACCTGTTTACCGGTCCGTTCTTTTAGTCAGTCTACCTGATATACCTGTCTGACCACACCCTGGTCTACCAGTAAGGCTTTTCAGAAAAAAAAAAAGAAACCAATCTTTAATTCTGCCGCAAAATTTATAACGTCTGAGAAAGTATTGTTCAGACTTGATTTTAACTTTATTTTCATAACAAATATTAGTAAAATGAAAATCTTTGTCCACAGTTATATCAAAAATTAACCTAATAAACAACTCTTCCTTTTTACAATGCTACCGGTTCACAGTAATTTTGACTTTTGTAAATCAACATTTATCGTTTTTTTTCTTTTCATATCACCATCACCACTGCCACCACCAACAACAACAGCAACAACGAAAGAAAAAAAAAAGAAAGGAAAGAAACTTATCAGTGGCTATATTTACTGTGAAATGTAAACCCACTTTTTCCTGCTTTTTTTTCCCCATTTTATTCCATTGTAAAAAAATATCAGTGACAGAAAAAAGCACTGACAATTGAACGAATTGAATAGAAGTTAAATTGTGACTTCAAATAGCTTCGATTCAACAATTTTTGTTTTATTTTGTATGTTTGCTTATTTTTTTTTCCACCCTTTTTCGATGTTTAGTTAACATAGAATATTGAATGTTATAATTGTACTGTATTTGTTCTATCTTTCTATCTATGCTGCTCATAATGTTCATCAATATGCTGTAACGTTACTGAAACTGAAAACCAACTGGTAAGCTTTTGAAACATGTTTGCTGGTAACCATATGAATAATAAGTAACCAATCTTTTTTTCCCACTTTTTTTTTTTTGGTTTAAAAAGCTCCACATTTAAACATATTGGTGTTGATGGATTCATAGCAGCTTACTAATGGCGTCAGCGATGAATTCTGCTGAGTGTACAGCCAACTTCAAATTTGTACCTCTGACAAGCGCTTAGTTTTTATATATTTGTATATATATATATACATATTTACCATCTGATGCCTTCACTTCGATTTCTTCTTCTTCTTCTTCTTCTTTTCATTTTTATTTTTGTTGTAACCCACCTTAATAATTCTATTAATTGCTTTTGTCTGATGCTGTACCATCCGCTACCAACAAAATTAATATGTTTTAAAAGATTTTTTTTTTGTTTGTCTCGAATGAACGAGGGAAAAAAGGGAAAGAAAATAGAAGATGAAGGTTACGGGACGTGTAGGTAGGGAAAAATCAGTTTAAATCAATTGTTTACTATTGTAAGCATTCTCTGTGAAGTTTTATCAGTCATGAAAGTCTCAAGCAATTTGACAACATCAGCATTTCGGCATAACTATCTGTTTAGAAAGTCATTTGCTTTC